CTTTCTGAATCCTTTATCATCTGCAACTGAAAATAGTTGTGGATGATTACTATACCTTTCTAATGTGATGTTGTTGTCCCTGGCTCTCTTTCTTTCTCTTGCTTTTCCCTCCTGCTCTGTTCCTGAGCTACTGAGTGTAAATACCGAAGCACTTTTAGTATCTCATCCTCTTACTTGTCTTGGTTTAGGTAGTTTTTATTTACATTTATTAATAATGCAGACAAAAAACATTAAAAGAAAAAACATTGCTTGAAATGATAAAAACACAAAGATGTTGGTGTCAGCAGTCATATACTTTGTACAGTAAAACATCTCCTATAGTTATTAATTGTGATGTTCATCTACATGGTCTACAGCGTGAGTTTGAAAATATCTTTTGCTGATGCACGTATTTGAAAAGCTTAGCTTACCTTCTGACTGGCATCGCTTTTTAGGTTTTAGATTGAATGGTGTGCTGTTAAACTTCTGCTCTGCCATTGCTGAAGTCTTTCTGTTGAGCTTCTCATAACTTGTGCACCAAAAAATAGCACTGTGTTAAAACTAAAGCGAATCATTTAAAAAAAAGTTGTTTCCACGCCTTTCATTTCTCTCTTTTCGTCCAACTTCTGCTTTTTACTGATATAGATGATAGGCAAGGTCAGAGAAGTTTTTTTTTTCACAGCGTTGGTGTGACAGGATATTTATTTAGCAGTAACTCATTGGGAATGTCTGCAACTTGTTCTCATTTACTTCTGTTTTCATCTGTTCCTTTCTTGATAATACCTCAAAACAAACATACACTTTTCCTTGTTAATGCAACAATTTGTCAGTGTGTTTTTTCAAATGATTTCCACAAATGGTGGTGGTCCAGCAGGCACTGCATGAAAAGCAGAAAGAAAATCTGGACAGATGATCATTAGAGAGGGAAAAACATTCAGATATACAAGAGAAACTAGTGTGAACATATAAACTCATACTTTGTCAGTTCAGAGGACAGGTTCCTTTTTCTTCCCAAGATGTCCAGCAAAAAAAAATAAACCTAATGATATAGTTTTAGGAGCTATAAAAGACTAAACTTGCTTTATAATTTGAGACTTTATTAAATTCCCGAGGCTTTCGGGAGGTCTAGTATTTATATTGGTAGAAACCCGACAATAATGCAGAGAAAATCCCAACAATTGAATAACCCCCTTTGAGGAAGCACTTGGTGAAGTGGGGAAGAAAAACTCCCTTTTGAGAGAAAGAAACCTCCAACAGTATCAAGTTCATAAAGGGGCAGCCATCATCCTTCAATGAATGGTATGGTTGATGGGCAGAAAGACAGGACAAAAACCAAACTATGGAAGCGAGCCAGAGATTAGCAATACAGTGCCCACTATTGGCCAAACAGCAGCAGCAACTTACAATGTCCATGTTTTAATTTACTTACTTATCTTCACAGGCTATCCAATAGATTTCTGAAGTTTGCAAATCCACTAGTTCATGGTTCACCACAGCACAGTTTCATACCAACAGTTATAAAGCACTTATTCCATCTTTCAATTGTTTGGGCGAATCGCTACCTTATCGTGGTGAATGGGTTTGTGTGTCCCAGGGATCCCAGGGGCTATGTTGTCCGTGGGCTTTTGCCTTCTGGTAGGGTCTCCCATGGCAAATTCGTCCTGGGTGAGGGACCAGACAAAGAGCTATTCAGAAGACCCCTATGAGTACACGATCAAGGGAACAGTTCACACTGCCCACGATAGGGTTACCGAGGCAATGTCCTGGAGCCAGGCCCGGGGAGTGTGCCCGAGGGCGAGTGTCTGGTGGCTGGGCATTAGTCCATGGGTGTTTTGCCAGGCACAGCCCGAAAAAGGGACATGGGCCCGTCCTCCTGCAGGCCCACCACCGCAGGAGGAGCTGTGGGGTGTCAGGTGCAATGTGCGCCTAGCCGTGGCTAGGAGAGGAGGCCCGGGTGGACCGATCCCCGGATACCTAGACTAGCTATAGGGAGATGGAATGTCACCTCTCTGGTGGGGAAGGAACCTAAGTTAGTACATGAAGTTGAGAGGTACCGGCTAGATGTAGTCCGTCTCACCTTAACACACAGCTTGGACTCTGAAACCAGTTTTCTGGAGAGGGGGCTGGACTTAGTCTGGAGTTTGAGTGGGTATCTTAGTATCCCCTTGGCTTGCTGCCTGTACGTTGTGGTTTCTCCTGGTGTTCCCTGCACCTTCAGGTCGGGGATTTGGTCCTGACTGTCATCTGCGCTTATGTGCCAAATGACAGTTCAGAGTACCCGGCCTTCCTCTTGTCCCTGGGGGAGTATTTGAGGGTGCTCCACCTGGGGACTCTGTTATCCTACTGGGAGACTTAAACGGTCATGTGAGCAATGACTATGAGACTTGGCAGGGCATGATTTGGAGGAACTGCCTCCCGGATCTGAACCTAAGCTGTGTTTTGTTATTGGACTTTGTTTGGACTGTTGATAATTTTTATGGACAGAATTTCTAGGCGTAGCCAAGTGGTGGAAGGCTTTCACTTGGGTGGTCTCAGAATCTTTGCTCTTTGCAGATGAGGTGGTTCTGTTGGCTTCATTTGAAGTAGTGGGAATGAGAATCAGCACCTCCAAATCTGAGGCCATGGTCCTCAGCCAGATGATGAGAGACAGGTGAGAACACAGCTGAACTGAATCTGACTAATCACACACAGGAAGTGGAACGGAACAGACCGAGACTAACATAACAAAACATGAAACAGGAAAACAGGCAAAACTGAAAATACTGACTCAATGAGCCAGGATCTCTGACAAAGCCTTTTGGACTTTTTGGTATTCTGAGAAATACAAAGTGTTAAAGTCACAGATATGAATATAATATGAAGTTCTTGACTGTTGTTTTTGACTCTGTGATATGTTTCACTTTTGACAACTTCTGCTTTTAGCTGAAAAAAAAAACAAGTTGTCCTACAGCATGTTTGAACTTTACACTGTGTGTTCTTTTATACACCTACCAGGCACTTTATGATGCTAATACCAGGTTGGATCCTTTTTTGCCCTGAGAACTGCCTTAAATCTTCTTAGGATTCAGGAAACATTCCTCACAGGTTTCAATCCATATCGACATGGTGTGCCAATAATTTGATTTAATATAACCCAGTAAAGCTAAGAATACGGTCAAATACAGATATATAACAACATAAAAATACCAAAATACTGATACTTCAGACAACAGCCTTCTTTGATTTGAAGTAAAACACTATCCAGCATCAATACAGGGAACAGAAACTCAGTATACAAACAGCACTGGACTTAAGAAACCTCTTTCAGCAACACAAATGAAAACAGCCAAGTGCTACTTTAGATCTTAAATGCTGGTGTCAGTTCAATTAACTATAATTAAGTTTAATTAACTTCTGATAGCCTCTTAGAATTTCTTGTAAAGTTGGCATCTCTGAAGTGTAATTTTGATGTTTAAGTGCTGTCATTTTGGGTTTTATTAATATTCCTCGATTTAGTGTCCTTTGTGGTTTTGGTTCTCTTAATTGTTTTCTCACTATGTTATATTTGAGTTTTACTTTAGTTTTCTCTCACTGTGCCTTCCCTGTGTTTCACGTTTCTTGTTTAGTACTATTGTCTCCCTGTTCCATGTTCCCTGTCTGTCTCCCCCTGGTCTCAGTGTTAAGCTTGTGTTTTCCACTAGTAAGTATTCGGATCGACTCGGCACAGTTCGCCACGGTTTTAAGGGTTTTCCATTAGGTCATAGTACCTGGCACCAAGTACTTTTTAGTACCTGCTTGACCTGGGTTCCAAGTGATCTGAGCAGGTGCTAAAATGTGACATCGTCATACTACATGCCACCAAATGGTTGTTCAGTAGTGTCACTTGATGAGTCATGAGAGCATCTTAGCATCACAGCAATGGGGAAAAGTCTGATGAAAAGCCACAGAAAGAGCAGCAACTTATTACTGTAAAGCACTTTGAATCACCTTGTTGTTGAATTGTGCTATACAAATAAATTTGCCTTGCCTTGCCTACTTGCCTCGACATCCACCTTTTTTGTAGAGTTCATGTTGCATAGTAATTATGTAGCAGGATGCTTGGACACTGCTATGATGTCAACATGTTAGGTACTACCGGATTTGTGTACATGGAATCTAAGAGGGGTCCATAATCCTATTAAAAGGAGAAAAATACTCACGTTTTTGAAAAAAGAACACGTTGATATTGCACTTTTAAAAGAAACACATTTAGATGACGTAGAACACCTTAAATTACAGCAAGGTGGATTTGGACAGGTATTTTTTTTACTCATTTACCTCAAGAAGTAGAGGGGTGGCAATCCTTGTGAGGAAAAAAACTCCCTTTTTCAAATATATAGTGTGTTTATGGACAAGCATGGAAGGTACATTATAGTCAAGGGAATATTATTAGGTGCGGTTGTTTCTATATTGAATGTTTACTACCATACCCCCCCCGCCCATCTGTCTGTTTTTATGACCACAGTATTTACAGACTTTGCTGAGATGCACTCTGACATTTCTATAGTGGGTGGAGATTTCAATTGTATACTGAATCCTCTTATTGACAGGTTCCCCCACTAGCCTCTGCCTCTTTCACCACGAGCTAAGGCACTCAATTCTATCTGTGAAGACTTAGGATTTGTGGATGTATGGAGAATAAAACACCCTTTAGATAAAGTATACACGTTTTTCTCTGCACCACACAAATGCCATACTAGGATTGATTAATTTTTTAGTAAAATCAGGGCTATCATTGCACTCAGTTTTATCGTGTGAAAACTGAGTGCTGTAGCACTCAGGAGGTAGAGCAGGTCAGCTGCTGATCAGAAGGTTGGTGGTTCGATCCCTGTCTCCCCCCAGTTTGCATGCCAAATATCCTTGGGCAAGATACAGATTTGCTCTCTGATGCATCCATCGGATGAATGATAGCTAGAAAGCATAGGTAACAGGGCTTGTGTGAATGGGTGTGTATGGGGTAAATGCAGCGTGTTGTAGAGAGCGCTTTGAGTATTCCAGGAGAGTAGAAAAGCACTATATAAGAATCAGTCCATTTACCATATTATAGTATAGTATTGTAATTTCAGACCATGCCAATGTGGTGCTGGATCTTTCTCTTAAAGGTATGGTGAATAGAGCAAAAATACTGGAGGTTAAATACAGCTACTACAACTATTTTAAGGGATTATACATTTGTATCCAATTTTAACACTGAGTTTAGATGTTTATTTGTCCATCAACCTGCATTGTGGGAAACTATTAAAGCGTACACTAGAGGGATTTTTATTTCTTACTCAACTAGTAAGTGGTGGCAGAAATTGAGGAAGCAGAATCTTTTAATGACTGCGCTTAAAACAAAAGGAAGGACTTATGCTGACTCCCCCAATCCTGCCTGCACAGCAAGTGATAGCTGCAGTCAGATCAACCTTAGATAGCCTTTTTACGCAAGATGAGGAGCTTAACCGTAAGTTTACTAAACAAAGACTTTATGAACATGGAAAACACTTGGCATATCTTACCAAGCAATGATCAGAAGTTATTACAGCAATTTG